GGGGGGGGGGGGGGGGGGGGGGGGGGGGGGGGGGGGGCGGTCAGTGAGTTCTCAGGGACCAAGGCTGATGGGCGATCAGTGGGTTCCCAGGGAGAAGCTCTGCAGTGGAAATCCTATGAGACTCGGTTAGTGGGCTCGAGTGAGGGGCAAGGACTAGCAAGCAGTCCCGGGGGTGGGGGGCGCAGGAAGTTGGCTGCAGCTTGGACCCAGGGATCAGCAGGCCTAGGACTCTGGATGGAACTGGACTAAGGGCTTGGCTGAAGGCAGGATGGTGGGGTTTGGGATGGTGTAACAGTGAGGTGGGGAGGAGCCAAGGTGTGGTCTGGGCCTGTCTGCAGACATCAGGATGTTTGAGGACACCCACGCAGTAGAAGGGGGTGTCAGCCTACCCAGGAGCACCTAGGGGTACAAAGGAACAGCTGGGCTTGGGGTGCCCAGGGGAGTTTATGTGAACCCTGAGGTATGGGAAATGCATTACTCAGAGAAAGGTCAGGGAAGCTGCTGTCACCCACAGCCCTCACAGAAGGGGGTCAGTATATCTGGGGGGCCTTGAGCAGCGAGTGATGGGTTGAGGCCCCAGGGGGAATCTGAAGGTGTCTTACGAGGCAGACCTACACTACTGGAGTGGCAGAGAGGTCTGTGTTGGGGTATCTGAGGGTATCAGTGTGTGCTGGAGTACTCGGGAGTCCTGCATAGTGTATATGGACCCCGGGCTACTGGGAGCACTCTGAATGTGTGGGGCCGGGGGAACTGTAGGGCATTGGGGCATCCATTTAGCAGGTAAGGGTACTGGGTTGTCTGGGTACTGGGTATTTCTAGGGCACCCTGCAAATGGATGGGACCAGAGTCTGGGAGGATGAGGATGCATTCCATGAAGGGACGAGGGAAGGTGTCTGGGAGAATATCAGGGGTACCCTGCAGGCAGGAGAGACTGGGGCCTACTGGCGGATGTGGGATGTCAGAATGCCCATGAGTGGCTGGGGCAGTGTCTCAGGGCCCACCTGCTCTGCAAGGTCATCATCCTTTGGCTGCCGCGGCTCGTAGAGGTCCAGCATGGTGTGGGAGCCCAGGCTGATGGTGCTGACGGTCGGGTAGTAGAGTGGCCCGTCCTCGTGGGGCTAGGGAGTGGGCACCAGGGCTGGACAGGGCAGGAGTCCACATCCCCCACCCTCTGGGGCTCAAGGAGGGCGCCCCTGCTTGGGATGGGGGGGGCTGAATGCCTGGTTGGGGTATGTGGCTTCTTAATGAGTAGAGGTGGGTCACCATGACACCCTGCCCCATGGAGGTCTGGGGGTCGGGGTGAAGACGTGTGGTTACCATGATGCCCTCCCCAGGCAGATACTGGTTCACAAGGACGTGGTTGGCTGGGAGACCCCCAAAAAGGCTGAGGTCAGATACTTTGTCCACGTAGCGCTGGAGCCACAGAGGCAGCCGCTCAGGAACCATCCCCCGGGGATGGGGGAGCCCACCTGGGAGAGGGCAATGGGGTCCTGAGGACACCCAACCGAGAAGCCCTGGCACTTGGAGTCCCCATTAGGAATACCCCAGGGGTTGGGAGCACTCTGACCCTGGGGAACCTCTGACTCTAGAGATCACTACCCACTGCTTCCTTCAAACCCCTGGACACTTGGAGATACCCCCAACTCATCAGGAAATCCCTAGTCTATCAGAATCTCCGCTCACCCCCTCAGAATCCTCCTGGCCCTTGGAACCCCCTGAACCCTCAAGGATCCACCCAGTGTCACCAACCTGAGCCACTTGCCCGGGCCTACATCCCCAAATTACCCATGCCCCCAGGCAGGGACACTTACCCCAGTTCTGTAACTTCCTCCCAGAGAGCTGGGTCCACTTTGGCTTTGGGGCATTGAAGACCTAGGAGGTGGGGAGGGGTCAGTCCTTTTTCAGGACCACTCTGATTCTCCCACTCAGACCAACATAGGGCCCTCTACCTGGGCTGGCGGTGGGGGCGGGGGATGGGACATCTCAAAAGTCTGTGGGATTGTTCTCTGAGACCGTGTTCCCAGGATTGTGTTGTTTGCTCTTGATCCTGTGTCTACTAGGATCAAGAAAAAGAAACCAGAGCTACACAATCGTGGTCTGAATCTACTCAGAGCTCTGGGCTGGATGGGGCTCTTTTAACCCAGCAAATAGTGTGCATGCCATAATTTCCTGAATCCCAGGCTATCTCAGCACAGCCTGACTTCTGGAACCTCTTTGTTCCTATCCCCTGGGGGAGGAAATGTGCTAGGCTGGGCTATCTCCGTGTAGCAAAGAGAGTACTTCGAAAATTCTCCACTGCCAAGATCCCAAGGGTCTAGAATGGGCAATCTCCAAGATAATGTACCCGATAACCTTGTCATTCCTTTCACAGTTATGGCGCTGTAATGGGCTACCGCAGCATAAGAGTCTGTGTTCTGTGGGGCGCCTGGGTAGCTCAGTCGGTTAAGCATCTGACTCCTGATTTGGGCTCAGATCATGATCTCAGGATCCTGAGTCAGGTTCCACGCTCAGCAGGGAGTCTGCTTGAGATTCTCTCTCTCCTTCTCTCCTTCCTGCCCTATATGTGTGTGCACACATTCACTCTCTCTCAAATAAATAAATAGTTGTTTTTTTTTTTAAAAGTGTCTGTGTTCTTGTAGCTAACTTATTCCTGGGACTCACACTAGACAAGACTACTTGGGATAGCACAAAGAAGACCTGTGCTCTAACTCAGGCTTTGAGGCTGCAAAAGCTCTGAGCTTTGTAAATTCTTTTTTCCCCAAACCTTAAGAATAGATGCAGAATACTGGGCCATCTCAGCACAGGTGATCTGTGCTTGGTGACTTTGTTCCCAAGACTCTGGGTCTCCGCTGAGCTATCTCAGCGGAGCGAAGAGTTTACTCTGTAACATTCTGATACTTGGGTTATGTCAGCGCAGAAATCTGAAACTGCAAATTCTTAATTCCCCCAACCTCAATGGCCCAAACTGGGCAATCACAGCCTATGTTTATAACCTGCTTTTCTCCATGATAGCAGGATTGGGCTATCTCAGCAAAAAGGGCAGGAGGTTTTTAACCTCCTTGTTTCTAGCATAAGGAATCTGTTTCTAGCCATTTCCTCTGTTTTGGAGGCTGGACTGGGCTATCCCAGCACAGGGAGTCTGAGCTGCATAACTACCTTGCTAAGTATCAGTTTGGTTTCCCCTAAGTCTTCTGGGAAAGGTTCTTTCTGACAGGCCCCAGCAGGTCCTGCAAGAGGAATAGGGAAGCGGAGGGATGAGTGCTGGGTGGCACTCTCCTTCCTGCCAGGATCATCACTGTAGCCTTAGGGGCTCTCACACAGAACCTGGAGATTGGGGAGGGACCTGGGAGGAGGGAAAAACAAACCAGAAGGGTGTTGTGATTACCTGTCGAAGCAAATACTCTTCCTCTTCCTTGGAGATGAAGTCAGGGACATAGTAGATTACAGGTGGTGCCTAGGATAGAGAGTCCCCTGAAGGTGCGGCCCTGAGACCCACACAGGAGCCCTAGTATCACTGAGCAGTCCTTCCCTCTGAAGAGTGGGTCCAGACATTCCCAGACAGGCCAGGGCCTGACCTCAAAGGACTAATGCCCATTTTGGGGGGTGGGAAGTGGGGGTGAGGGTAGAGATATATCCTGAGGGTAAGAATCAATTTGGAGGGAGGGAGCAGTCCCAGCCCACAAACCCCGGACTCAGCCTACCTCTCCCCACTCTTATCTTCCACCCGTTAGTCCCCACCTTCACCCTCTGCAACCCCAGTCCTGACAACCTGCTCCACCCTGAATGGTTCCAGGGCTGGGACCCTGGCGTCCTCATCCTCCATCGACACCAACTCCATGCACCCAGTCCTGTGGGGGAGGGGAGGACACTCTGAAGTCACCAAGCCTCCCACCCTCAGGCTATGATCCCATTTTCTGCTTTACCAAAGGCGGGGGCCTCCCCTCAGCCCTACTGGGAAACTCACTTGGTTTCTAAAACCCGAATTCTCAGCATCTCAAAAGCCACCCGTACACAGTGAGTGCTCAGAAGGCTGCCCCGCTGCCCCAAACTCCATCCACAACGACCTCTCAAACTACACACATTTTTGCCTTCTTAAGCTTCTCACAGAGAACATCCTCTGACCTCACTGGAAGCCATTCTCAAGAGCTCCACGACTTCCAGGGCCGCACCCCCAAAATCCCTTCAAACAGTTTGAGACCCCATCCTAACAACTTCAGACTTGAAACCATGAGTCTGGCTCTCTAACAATATTCAAAGTCACCATGCACCCTCCTCCCACCTCAAACCCTTTCAGGTGCCCCACTCTCAACACCCATGTGCCCCCTCGTCTCCTAAGAAAGGTCCACCCTCAGTCTCCTCGTATCTCCCCATTCTGGACCCCTTCACACTTCTCCTCCCGAGCGCCCCTTCCCTGCAGCAACCTTGGGCCTTTAGTCCGGAGCCTAACTCCTCTCCAACCTTCTTCCCTACCCGAACCCCTTAGACTCCCCACCTCGAGTCTTCCAGAATTCCATACTCTGAGCTTCCCTGGACTCCCATCTGAGCTTCCCCAGGTCCCCGTTCTCAGCCCTCTCACACTCCCATCTCCGTCCCCAGCCACCCCCAAAACTGACCGTCCACCAGCGTCCCCTCCAATACCCGAATTAAACACCCCCATTCCCTTCCCAGCCACTTCCGCCTCACGTTCCTGACGCAGGTTTCCTCAGACCAACGGGAACTCTCAAAGGTCCTAAGTTCCGCCTCCCACCCAATCGGTGCTCTCACCCAACTTTCCCCGCCCCCCACCCTCAGTGATAGGCTGCACCTCATGGCCCCTGAGCCACTGGGGATCCTTCGGAGACGGGTCTTCTGGCACCGACCAATCAGGCTCCAGGAGCCTACCAGTTCTCACTGCGGAGTGGCCCCAGATGCGAGGGGTAGCCTCGGAAGGGGCAAGATGGGAAGGAAAGCCGCACGAAGGAGGCAGGACTGTTAGAACGACTTCCCGCAGGCTAAATCATTCCGTTTCCATTCCGCAGGGAGGCTAGATTGAAGGAAGGACTTCCTCTCTCGTCCTCTCCCAGCAAGGGTCCAAGGGCAGGCCTACAACTCCCCAAATACTGACCTGACGCAGACAAGCCATAGAAACATTTTTATTGAAGGGGATAGGGGTCATGCTGAGTTCGGGGACATGCAGTGAAGGGGCAGTCGTGAGCTGTCCTTGGTGGTTAGGGCCCCAGGTCCACCCTAGACCCCCTGGGCCTTTAGGTTCTCCCTCAGGCTGTTGGTTTGACCCGGGTGCTTGAGGTCCTTTGGGGCCAGTGACTCAGATTCGGTGTTTTGGACCTGTGACCAGAACGTAGATTGAAATAGGGGTTCCAGGATTTGCGATCCCCTCAAGGCCTTGGGGCCCTTCATATACTAGAGATGGAGGCTTTAGGATTTGGGGTTCCCTGGGGGTGGGGCTCTTTACATTTGGGTGTCTTGAGATCCATCGACTCAGGGCATTGAAGTGCTCCGGTTTCCAGGGATGAGAATTCCTGTTTGGGGTCTCCTGGTGCCTATGAACAGGGCTTGAGGTGCTCTGGGAGCCCGGGATGCATATCCTGACTGCAGTCTCCTCCATCCCAGGCACAAGGACTTCCATGATTGGGGTTTCCTGGGGGCTTGGGATTGAATTTTAAAATTTGGGATTCCCTGGGGATTTGGGGATTCTATGATTTGGGAGTTAGGGCCTTGAGGTCTTTTAGGAGCTATAGGACTTGGGGGCACAGGGGAATTTGGGACATGTACTCTGGGGTCTGGGATCCCCAGAGTCCCAGAATGGGGCCTCCAAATTTTGGGGTCCCCCAAAGGGGGAAGTCATTACTTAAAAAATAGAGAATTTTCTGGGAGCCTGGCCAGCACAGAGGCTGTGGGCCGTGTGGGGTGGGCTTCATACAAGGCACTGGGGGCTTCTTCAGGGCGCAGAGGGTAGGAAGACTTAGGGGTCCTGTAATTAGCACTTCCAGGACTGTTTTGGTGTCTGTAAATTGGGGGTGAGAGTGGGCTGGTTAATGTGGGTCTCTTCTTGAGGGGTAAGAGCGGGGATTTGTTAATGTAGGGTGTCTCTGATTGCAGTGTAACTTTTTGGGGTGACCATGGCAGTCACAACATCTTGAGGGGACTGATGTTAAATGTAGTTGTTACTCTGTTGCTCTGGAGATAATGACCTGTGTTTATTTCAAGGGGACTTGATGGAGGGGGGTGTCTTTGTTAATGGGGGAGGGTTCTGATCCACTGATGAATGACTCAGGAATGTTCTGCTCTGGAGCCATTATGTAGAGGTCACCATCCTTTGAGGTGATATGGAAACATGTTATTGGGGGGTCTGCTCTGAGGGGTTGGGGACAGGGACTAGCCTGAAGGTGCTACACTCAGGGAATCTCTTTCTGGGTACCATGGGGTCTGTATTTGGGGGTTACCATGAGGGAATCTGTTAATAATGGGGCCTCAGTGATCGAGGGCTGGCTAATGGGGTCTCTATTCTGGATGTGTTACTGGGAATCTCTATCTCAGGGTGACTCAGGGGTTCCTTGTGTCAGGAGATGCTAGAGGGGACTCTTTGACTCTGTCAGGTATCCAGGCCTCTAAGACTGCATCTCCGCCCTCAGCATCCAGGGAAACCAGCAGCAGAAGAGCAACCTGGAATGGAGAATCACATCCATCCGTCATACCTTGATGCAGAATACAGGAACATCTGGATTCATCACCACCCTCCTCCCCCGACCCCTACTCTTCCCCAAGTGACTAGGGTTTGGCCTTTCTGGATTCTGCCTCTACCTGTCTGGAAATGCCTTCTCAGGCTCTTGTGAAATTGAAAGTGTTTTGTCTCCTCTACCCACCCCTTAAGAGTGGAAGCCACCAGAATTCAGTGTGGGACCTCACCCCCTAAAAAACATTTCTGGGTCAGCTGACTAGTCACAAGTTTTGCTAACCTCTATTTCCAGCCCCAACCAGAAGCCCAGATCCCTGTGTCCAATGGCCATTTGTGCAACCTCTCCCTGAACATCCCCCTGGAGGTGGGCCAAGGGTGGGCTACCCACCTGGAGATGGAGTTCTCTGATGCGATGTCCTTTGGGGTCCGGACTGTCGTGAAAGTGCGCTTGGGTTGTGTCACTGAAGGGAAGGGCAAGGTCTCAGTTAAGGGGATGACAGACCCTCAATACCCAACCAGACTCCTTGTCATTGATACTTATCCATGTCCCCAATACCCACCTGAACCCCACATTCCAGTACCCATCCAGATCTCTTGTTAGTAACATTCCTTGTATCCCCCCATACCTACCCATGTCCCCAGTGCCTGCCCAGAGCCTTGTTGTTAACATTCCCAATACCCTACCCCATAGCACTTATCCTCTTTGGGATCCTGTCTCATCATTTTCCTGGGCCCTGTATCCCCTGTTAAGTCCTGGAAATTCTGTCACCAGCATATACCTGAGAACCCAAGACCCTTCCTCCCATCCCCAAACCCTCATCCCTCCTCTACCTCCTATATCCCAATCCCAACTCACTTGTCACTTGATGCACTTTTTTGGCTCCGATACTGTCCCCAGGGGGGTCAGTGGATCCACCAATCCTGGGGAGACATAAGAAGAGTGGGAGGAGTCAGAATCACAAGAAGCCAGGAAAGAAGCTGAACCCACAGGGTTCAGGAAGGGCTAGGGTATGGAGTGGGGGATCCACACTGCCCTGCTGGTCTGAGAGGAAGAGATGCCTGAGAAGCGTAGGGAATCAGGCTTCTGGGAGGTGCCCTGAGTTGGGGTTGGCCTTTGGGCTCACCTCTGAATTCGGGATGCTGGTGCAAAGACTCCATGCCGTGGGGGGCAGGTGAAGTACCGGACACCGAAGACAGAGCCATCATGTTTGCCAGTGGGCTGGTCTAGCTCAATGCCATACCAGTAACCTGCAGCAGTGGGGTGTCAGGATGCCTCAAGGTCTTACCTGCCCAACCCCCCACCCCAGATCACTGTCCTCACCAGGGGCAAAATCTGTCTTCCCATAGAAGCGCACGGTCCCTTGCTTCTGGCCCGCGACAAGGACTTGATCTCCAACCTCAGCCTTGGCTCCTTCCCGCTGCTGCAGGCTGCCCAGAGATGGGGATGACGGGGGCTTCTTCTTGCCTGGGGTAAAGGGTACAGTGGGAAGGAGTGGGGCCCCCAGAAGCCTGCCCTGGGGACCCCATGCCACCCAGAAAGACCCAAGGTAGAAACTCTGTCCTGGCTCCAGTCAGGACTCTAGACCCTTCCCCAGAAACAGGAGGGTTTGGGACTTGAAAGGAAACAATCTCAACTGCCAGAAAATTAGGCTGGGGGTGGGGGCACGGGGGTTAGGCCTGAAGGGAAACTGAGTCAAGAATCTGGAGAACCCCAAAATCCTTTCTCAAAACTGAGATTATCTGGGCCAAAGGAAAAACTGAGTCACAGAATTCAGAAGCCCAGAAGTTATCCTTTTAAAATGAAGGAAGGAGTTGGGTATGAAGATAAATAAATAAAGTCATTAAAGCCAGGAACCCCATAGATTCTTCCCTAAAACTGGGGGGAAAACCCTTGCCCTGAGGAGAAACTAAGTAACAGAAGGCAGAGAACCCACAGATCTTTTGAAGAACTGGGTGGGGGGCCAGTACTATGTCAAAGGAGAAACAGAGTCATAAAAGTGAATTCCTCTAACACAGGAGTTTGGGCCTGAGGAGAAACTGAGTCACCAAAGCCGGGCTACCCATAGAATATCCTCAAATTGGCTCTCCTCACCCAGAAGGCTCCCCCTCTAACCTTTGTGTTCCCTGCGGCCTTTGCCAGTGACACGGGAAAAGTCCATCCGAGGAGTCCGAGGTGTAGAGGTGACCGATGAAGGGGGTGCATCCACTACCTTGGAGATCTTGGACACAGAGGCAAAGAGACCTGCGGGGGGTACAGAGCCTGTGTGCTGGGAGTGGCCCAAGCCTCTGCCTTCTGCCCGGCCATCATCGCCCCACCCCCATCACCAGTCAGCAGCATCAGAACTACTGAGTGGACCCCACTGCCACCCCTTTTGAGCCCCAGGTGGGACTGACCCTGCTTCGGAGGGCAGATGAAGTAACGGACACCCCCAACACTGCCATCATTCTTGCCCTCGGGTTCATCCAGCTCCACGCCCACCCACTGGCCACTGGCGAACTCCGTGGTCCCGCAGAACCGAAGTGTGCCCGTCTGAGGAAACAAGGGAGGATAAGGTTTTGGGGGAGAGGGTCCTTGAGAGGCCATGAGAGATCACAGGCACACAGGCAGCATGGAGAATCGATGAGGGAACCCTGAGCTCCAATCTGGACACCCCCATTTACTGGCTGTATGACTGAACAGCACTGAGCCTCTGTGTCCTCATCTATAATATGGGAACAGAAATCACACCCACCTTATGGCATGGTTATAGAACTGCCCGGTTCAGCGCAGTAAACAGCCATAAGCCAAAGATAACAATTTAAATAAACCGAAATGAAATTTAAATTTAATTGCCCTGGTTACACTCACCACATTTCAAGTGTTCAGTTGCCACATGTGGCTTATGGCTACTTTACTGGGCAAGACAGACAGAATATTTCCATCC